GTCCTAATGGGTCGCAGATTGAGAACTACACTGGATTTGCTGACACCCAGGCGTCCTCTCCCACAAACAAGGAACTTAGCAATGGAGCAGCAATACAACAGGCGGTACGGAGCACGGAGAAGGATGTTCAGAGTTGGCGAATTTGTATCTGCAGCGGCTATTCAGGGACGGCGGATCAGCTGGATACCAGGACGCATCGTGTGACGTCGGGGACGGGTGACGTACGATGTTCAATTTGGTGCGCAGGTATGGAGACGTCACGCAAATCAGCTGAAACTGCGGTGTACACTGGAAGGTGATGTCCAGAATGCCAACAGATTTGATGTTAATGAGTTGCTTGACAATGGCAAACCAAGTGCTTCTTCACTCCGAGAATTTCAACCAAAAGAATGCCCGGAACAAGAAGGTCGAAACAGACCCCAACGAACAAGAAAATTTGTACAGCCATTTCAAGTGGACCAGCGTCGGAAAAGCTATGTTCCGTACAGGTAACTAACTTTTTAGAAGGGGGAGATGTTGGGGAGCTGGCTACCTAACCCTCAGTTTCATGAATTATGTTAGTTGCCTATTTCTTTGTTTGCGCAGTTACCTGCTTCTCTGTTACATTTTGGACACGCCGTTTTTCCTCAGCCCCATTCGCAATCACTCACAGCTAATTTCAGTCGTCTCATTCCGTGGACATTCTGATTGGTTTCTTTTGCTCAGCGTTCCTTAGCTTTTTCACGTGGATGTATTATTCAGCCGATACATATTATACTTGTTTTTGTTTTCATGGTATGTATCATTCTCACTATTAACTGTTCTGGCATTTGTTTAAACGCATCACTTCTCCACACTGATTAGACACTACTCGTCGTTTTTAATGGTCGCTCACCAGAAGGTTACCCCCAGGGATTAAATCCGCCGGCACTATTTTCTTTGCCGCACTTCATTGGCTCGTAATTTTCGCGATCCTCATTTGCTTGTTCCATTTTGTGTTTTCTCCATGCCTGTTGGATCTCATGCGTTTAGTAGCTTGGATTCGCCCTTGTTTGTAAAGCTATATAACTGGTGCCGTGCTGAAATAGAAAATCTGTTCATCCCGGCTCATCTTGGACTTCTTCTTGCGGTCGTGGGGTGAAGGCGTACTGGGCGTCATAACAAAGACGTCGACGAACTTTCTCCGATCCGCAGCGTTGATTTGGAACATGGCCCACAGGCTCAGGGATCTTCCAACCGGACCAGGTTTGGGTGTGCGTCTGGGTCGGGACCTCTTCTTTGGATCGCTAGTGGGGCCAGCCCAGTTTTGGCCACCTTGGGAGATGGAGGATAGCAGTAACCTTCCCCTTGCCCCACCCTGCCACAACTTTGACAACGACGTTGGCGGAATTTGCAGTCGCGGTGGAAATGCCAGGCACCACAGAATCGGCACGCGTAGAGTGGAGACTTCACTCGGTCGGATTGGGTGGGGCGCGCGGACGATTTCGCCCTCGGTGCTGTGACTGCCTGGACCATACCAGGTGCGGCGGCGTTCTGGATCATTGCAGAATCGTGCTTTAGGTTGAGCAGCGTTTGACACTCCTCGACCAGGTTCTGGAGTGTAACTGAGCTATCCTGTTGTAGCTTGGACAGGAGGCGCGTCTGGATATCGGCATCGTGTGGAGACTGGAGGCCAGAGACGAAGATCAGGCATTTGAATTGGTCCTCGGTGAGCGAGCCAAGTAGAAAACGTTGGCATTCCCGGTCAACCACGCCCGCGTACGTGATGAGGTCGTCGGCATCAAGTTTGGCCAGCTGCAGACAGTGATAACGAGCATTGAACAGAGAAGACTGCTCGCCAAAAATCTGTGACAACATTCGGACCGTCTCGTCAAAGGTAACGTCGCGTGGGTTCCTCGGTAAGATGGAGTTGGTGTAGCGCTGGTGTTCGAGCGTACCAAGTTTACGCAGAAGCAGGCGGACCTTCCACGCGTCGTCCTGGCAAGCCAAGTCAACGGTGAACCGGTCCTCGTCCCGCTTGTACCAAGATTCGAACGTCACCCCGGCCTTGTCGTCGTACAGGAATTCGCTGATGCCGCTAACCACATGGTCCACTGACTAAGGATTGGCGCTTGGACCTGCATGAAGGGAAGAACTGGAGAGCTTTTCGGTTAAAATCGACATCAACTTTAGTTGTTGCTGCAGCATCAGTCGTAAATCGGCGTATTCGTCAGTCATGGTCCGTCAACTCTGTCGCCACTGTTATAATTGGGGGAACGCCGCCTCTGTCATGATTGCCTAATTGCCTGATAAGATTGTCGCTGGCACGGTTGGAGCACGCCTAAGATGACGACTTGTAACGCTGGCCAATCGAACGGAGTTGCGCTGACCTGATGACGCTAACTTAGCCGGTAAGACGGAAAATTGAGCGAGCGTGTGAACGATCCTAGCCGCAGTTGTTCGGATAGACGCTGAGGCCTCGGAAACGGACGCACACGAGAGGGGGTACGATAGACGCGCGCTAATGACTTAGACGCGAAGGATGGCCAGCTAACGACTCACACGCAATCACGTGACCCGACCGACTCCCAACTGAGGCGAAGAGAAAGGAAAGGCAAGTGGCCCTCTGTAGGCTCTTTTACGACCAACAAAGGGCGATCACAGCCAGTGCTATGGGTTATTAAGTTAGGGAAAACAGTCACCACGAAGAGGTGGTAGTATGTAAATGAGCATTGTCGAAAGGTGCGCAGTTGGGGCGGGTCTCGGAGGGGCTGAGCTCTGCTACGTTGTGGGGAGGAATTGGACCTCGGTTTTCACAGCCATTCTGCTGGGGTTTCTGGCGTGTTTTTGCGGGAATATTTGACGTGCCCGCAACACGTGGGAAATAAACCTGACTCATTAATGTGCGCCTGTGTGAGTGGTGATGTAGTGTGTGTTCGCGCCAATAAAGTTCGTGCTTTATTACCGCGTTGTTCTGTCGCTACAATATGTCTGCTATATGATTCATTCAATTTTACAATGACGATAACGCGGTGAGGGTCCGTTGTGCCTCCAAGTAAGCGTGCTCGTCCTGTGAATGAGGTAATAACAGTGGTAGGAATCTACGGAAATGTTTAACAACAGGATGAAGCAGAACCACAGTCGTTAGAAAGAGGGAGCCAGTGATATCCATGAGTTTGGAAGTAAACATAAAGAGGATTTTTCGCTGCTTTTCCAACCAACGACCGTTTCGCAGAATGTGGCATTGTATAGAGTGAAGACTCTCGTAGCGTTGGCTTCTGTAGCTGACTTCATAACCACGGGTTTTTGGCTGACAGCATTATGGGGACTTCGTACCCAAAGTTGTACACAGGGTTTCATACTAGGGATTCAATACTTATGTCCCACTTATTACGCGTATGTAAGGAAAGAGAGCGTTTGTAATGTGTCCAGCTAGGTTGATAATCATGCCAGTATAATATAGCATGGAAGAGCTATCCTACTGCAATACATGTTGTCGCCCTGCATTATTAATTAGGTGTGACTACCGTTACCTACCTCTCCGATGCTTATCAGTTGGACTTGCTTTCACGGGTGCTATTTTGAGCGGAATCTGCACATATAAGGATCCAAGTACAGAGCTGCCCTACCATCACGACATTTATAGTTTGTGTTTAGTCCCCGGTTGTTCAAGCAAACATGCGCGTTATTGAAACATCACTGCCTGCAGTAACGATCGTGTTCGTGCATGAGCAGTATAATCAAGCACACTGTTAACATAATATATGACAGCTTGTTAGCCGTAACCTAGTGGTTGTCATTGCAGTTTATATGTATGTTAATCACATTCAACCTGTTCGCGTGATAGATGATGTAAAATGAATTGTTAGGAGGGTGTGAATCTAGAGAAGTTGGAGAATGGCCTGCAGTATATATATATATATATATATATATATATTGCAACAGTCTGTGCATAAACCTAGAGCCATCAGATACCATGGCACACAAAAGAAGGTACGGAAATTGTAAAAGAAAACACAACGCAACACATTAAAGCCCATGGTTTCGTCTGAGGGCGAGATACTACCCGGTTGCCCAAGCCGAAGTAGGGTGTTGACTTAGGGGATACCACCCCGAGACTTTGGCTGAATAGCCTGCTCGCAGGGCAGCGGAGCGAATTCAGAAAATCGCGCCCATTGGGAGCCAGTGACTGATTGCTCAGTTCATACGCATTTCGTTTGTTGCTTTGTCAAACCGGGGCCCAATGCTCCCCAGAATGGTGAACAGACGTTAGCTTGAGTGCGTTGCTCCTTACCCATCGCTCATGTATAACCCACGCAGAGACGAGTTGTAAATGAGAGGCTTCGGTCTGATATCAACAATTCTCTTTCTATTTTATACAACAATTGTTATTTCTGAATCTCGGTAGAGGACGTTGATTTACTTCAATCAGCGGTTACTTGCTCACTAACCAAACAGGCCATGGGTGATGGTCCACACCGGAACAGAACACTCGAAATTTAATAGCGTGTTTATAGGATATTTAAATTAATCTAATGGATTGTAGAAAAATTCGGTAGGAGACGAGAACTTTTGTAGGTGTTCACCGGGTTTGCAACTGACCACATCTGCCTGGTGATCAAAAAATTGCGCACTCACGGGGATCACGCGCATCAGGAAATTTGATAACCTTATAATCCCAAAGAAAAACGGACATCCGAATAAACCTGGAACAGTGAGATCAGTTAGTTTAGATAGAATCTCTGAATATGGTTCCTATATCGAAAGTATCTACGTGCCTGTGTTTCCAATTCCACATACTGCGTCTTCAGGCGGGTGAAAAATTGTTTAAGAAAGTAATTGACATCATTGGGGAAACTTTATTTGTCTGACTTACGAATGCACCGGTGATCTCAGTTGCTCAAGATGGGCCTTCCAGCAGTACGAAAGGTTTTCTTAGACAGAACTCCCATATTCCACTGGCATAACATGACATGGCATCTCGGAAACCCTTTACAGGGGAACGTAGTTGCTTACATGTTAGTCCGAATCCCCATTAACAGTTACCCACATCCTTCATTTTTGCCCATTCAGCCACACTTCAGTTACCATGCAGGAGAAAAATTGTCCTAACAAACAAGAACCAGGTGGAAGTTGTCTACAGATGCTGCGTGGTTGGCCCAGATCGGGCGGATTACATGTGCTACTCCAGCGAAATCGAAGTGTGGTCGAGCTCAAAGAGACATGATGTCTTGCCAGTAGCTACTTGTAACCAGAGGGGATTTGACGAACTGCGTATAACTGTACCCGCCAAATCTAGCGCCAAGCTCCATGTGGAATATAAGTAAGTTGAACCAGGAAGCCGATTTGAATTTCAGTGGTGTTTTTTTAATAATTTACCACAATACGTTTCGCACTCTACTTAAAAAGAAACTAGCCACATACTACTCACATACCAGCACTCCTGTTAATTCGGAAAACATGCTAAGCATGTGATATCTTATAAGAGTGATTTGTACACAAAGGACAACCCGAACAGATGATCGTTTTTTGCTAACTTTTAACAAGCACATATCTGCTTGAAGACAGGCTAAGACAGTCTTGTCTTGTGTGGTTCATCCAATTTCCCATTACTCACGCTGTTTAAGTAACCGGACGTTGTGTTCGTTTTCCACAACCTGACTGGTCAGAGTACTGGACCCCGAAGCAAACTTTACTCTAATTGAAACCCCCTTTCTTGATTTACTCCAAACCAATTAGCAATCTAAAATAGGCAACAAAAACTCAACCTTTTGGGAGTGAAATCTAGCTACGACCTCCATCAGTTGTTTTGCTCAGCTTAGAATCATGTATAGTAACACTCACTAAAAGGGAAAATGTTTGACATTACCTGCGATATTTGTATACAAGTGGTGATCTGACGAGCTGTGTGCTCGGCCCTAGTCGTAGGGTTATGACAAAATAAATAAATGATATATTCCTCGGCTTTGCGAGGCACAGTCCATGTGGTCTAATCAATCTGTACAGCAGGATCGCAGAAAAGAAGGAATTGTTCACGCGTTATACAATGGATCAAAAACGGATAATAAAGTAAGAAGCCGATTTAAGGTATTAAAGAAATTGAAAAGCCGGGAACTATAACCAATACAGATTTAAACAATTGTTCAGATAAAGTAGTAAGGCCACCCTTGGAACCCTCTCCAGGGGACCTTCTTCCATGCGGGGTATTCCCCCGCAAGGTGTCGCTCGCACTTCCATGTTTAACGTTTATCCTAGCGTAGCATATCAAGCCCGGTTTTGTTTGATACAGTATACGCCTGATGCTTCCAACTCGGTTACTGGACCAATTAAAGTAATGTTGCTTAGGGAAATACACGGGATGCACCACCTTAGTGATACTGCTGAGCTCAGTGTAATGTTCTGGCATGGAATGCGCTAAAGCCAAACGGCTGATCTGTGTACTTTTGCAACACCCCCTTTCCCTAGGTTGCATCAATAATACGTGTGTTGAATCGATCGTGGTTCCCGTCCACACGCACTACTCGGTCTTATTCCCTTGCTTTGACGCTAGAAATGGAAGCGGGTGGGTGTTGCGGCGCAAGTCATCCACGGTCCTTCTGCAGGTGCATGTGTGTTAGGGCTCTTCGCTTTCAAGGCAACAGAGAAATATGAAACTGGTTTCCACAAACTATGAACTATCTGTCCTGGTAGCACAATCGTGGTTGATGTGGTGCCAAAAATAAAAAGCACCGTTTTGTCAGCTTATACCCTGGTTGGAAATTTTCTGTTTGGTTTATGATTACCTCTTAATCGTTCTGAAAGGATGCAGCTAACATGGAAATAACTGGTTGATAAGGACGCCGCGATGGAACCGATGAAAGCATAACAGGACAGATAACAATATTTTTCACGCAATCTTTTCTTCGTTTATATCTACATTTTAACAACTCCATCCTCCTGTTTACTGATTCAAAAATGTATTCACGATTAGATGGAAGTGTTTGGCCGTTCCGCGAGCTGGATTTTTTCGCCGCAAACATTTCGCTAGTGGGCTAGGCAAACCATCAGTTCAAACTATCAGATAAGTGATTTGCCAATGGAGATGTTTCGGTGTTGTTCCTCCCAATATCGAAACACCTCCAATTCGGATACAGTCCTTATGATCGAAATGACCGAGGTCCACTTAAGAGTAAACCGAGGTCCCAATAGAGCTTGTGTGTCGCAATCCAACCACAAAGCGGGTATTGCAAATCCAAGTTTGATGTGCCAATGCTCCTGAGTGGTTTTATTGCTGGTCAGAGTTCAACCTTTGGCTTCCTCGTTGACCTCTTATGTTTCTTGGGATGGGTGGTGAGTTGGCAAACTAACAACTTTCTTTGTGCAGTTGACCTGAGATAAATTGCTGGCCTGTTCCGCTGCGCTTCGTAAACAGCCTGCACCTCCAAGTATTAGCTAAGGTACCATTTTCTTTCAGTATTTTGGCGCTTATCTCACCAGCAAATGTGCGGAGAAGACGGTGATTGTCAATGTACTGCGAATGACCGTTGCTAATCTAAGTACCTTGGTGTCGGATAGCCAGCAAACAAACAGGGAGGCGCTTGTGCTAGGGAATATGGGGATCCAGCGGAGAGAGATGTATCCAGTGAGCAGGGTGCAGCACGTGAGCCGGGTCGAGCTGCAATTTCATTGGTTTGACCACATGGAAGTAAACATGTTGTCTCGGTTTTAGAAGGACGGACTATTCCCACGTTAGCCTTATCATCACCACGAAACCATTAAGAGGCAAACGTGGAAACAAGCAGGAAAAGTATTACTGGGATGAGGTGGACAGACGAAAAGATAAAGTATTGTTACCCTTGTCAATTCATCACTTAGAGGAAGAGTGGGACTCGACCGTATTCGCCGAAATGCAGTAAACTGCATGCAGTAGGGCAATCTCGCAACCGCAAATTTGGTTCAGCGGCCTAAGCCGCTGCATCGCGAGTAAACATACATGGCTTCCCACTCCATGGCTTTCGAAGACAATGCGTGCTATTTATGAACTCCAATAGAATGAAAGGTTCCTCCCTATGTGAGGACTGACACAGATCTTAAAGCCGGTTTGTTGTGTATATGCGATAATAAGGGATGGTTTGGCAACTTTTCAAGCCACTCCGCATAAGGAAGCAAATCATGTGAGGGTCGCATCCTTCGGATATGTTCAGTTGACTCAATATATAGATAGTGTGAACTTCGACGACACAGCAGCATGAAATCCCTTTTGGATCCACAGTTACTCGCCTAACTTTATGATTTGTTTACAAACCCCTTTTATAGGCCACGGTTTCTGCGACCCACAGAAGCAACTTTGTATGCAGTGGAACTGCGCTCTGGTACAGGACAAGGAAAGACGTTGGCCTTTGCTCTCAGCGGAATGGTCAACAGTGTCGGAAATGAGGTATGCCACCCACATTCCTCACAGAGTGCGTACACATAAATCCAGGAGTTACAGAAGCCGTAGTATCTGGTATACACTTAGGTTCTGGTGAACGGTGAGTATTTTGAAGGAAGACCCTGAAGTTTCAGTTAGGTCAGTAATTAAGTTTATATAGTTCAATTCCTAATTGCGATAAAGTAACCAAGTATGGTGTGAGTGTCGCTAGAAAGACTCATTAGCAACGTAATTACGAACGATACGGAAACGATCATACTGAATGGGTGTTTTGCGAATACACAGCTCCACCTACGTACACTGAACATATTATATGGTTCATTTGGTGAGTAATTACTGTGAAGAGGAAATGGGACATGCAATCTTTTAGCGTATGGCAGTTTCGCTCGAGTGTAAATCTATTGCGTATTTTGGGTCAGAGATATCATATTTGAATTAGATAAATGTTGGTTTTCACTGGCTCTGGACACATAACTTGTCACTTTTGATCATTATAACATACTAATACTAACCCTATTAATGGTACATGGTTCGAAAGAAATTCATCGCAGATCCATTCAGTCAAACAGTTACTACACATCCGGAGCAGACCATTGGACCAAGGGAATAACGGAGACCGCCGTGATCGGGATATAATGAAAATCCGATCTTCCATTGTCATGTGCGCCTACAACATGCACAAGGCAGGAGTGGTCCTCGGAGCTACTACTTCCCTAACTGAATCTCCACCGCCCGGTCGTAGTATACGCTAACATAGAGAGTAGTGAAAGAAGGCAATCGAATTGGATTTCGTGAGCGCCGTGGCCACACGATTACGACGAATCTCCTTCGAGACTCGACCAAAATCCATTCTTTTAATTACTCTATAGATAGTTGTCTCTCGATTTCCCGAGTCCGCTTTTACAGATGCTTACACAAACACTTTTGTAAATGAAATAGCTTAATGCATCAAATGCGCGTGCAACAGAGAACTCTTCCGATTGGAGGGCCATTTTGACGTTCTCAATGTGTAACTGGATTGCAACACGCAATCTCGTTGTGGACCATGATTCACCTTGAAGGGAACCTTGATCAGTGCGATCAGTGGGATCATAGCAGAAGCAGATGGAACTATTCGTTTGCAGTCATCGGTAGGTAGTAGTGTAAACCACAATGGAAAGTGGAAATGAGCCTTCGATGTTGCTTCCAATAGAAATACAATTTTCTTGCAAAGACCCGGTAGTTGCGTTCAGGGAATTCGTTTTTGGTAACTGATTGATGTTCTCTCGTAGAAATTGATGGAAAGCGCTGAGGGAATTGGAAAATAGGACACCTTTACATTGCAGAATTTATGATAAAACAATACATTGACCTTAGTAAGCCCCAACTCTGTTGCCTTGTGTGTGTGAACTACGAGCACTATTTATTGACAAAACCAAGGGGATGTGAAGTGGTGAAATATAATGCGAGGGTAGGTGAGTAAGCATGTTGTAAGGAAACCACGAAACCTGCGTTTGTGGTAAGAAAAAAGAAAATAAAAGAAGAGCATGCAGAACATGCAGGATGGCTTGGATGGATGTCGAATGCCCAAGTTACCGATACGCTAACGTTTCCATGAGATAAACGGAATCGGGTTAAGAACGCGATACCGAACGCCGTCAACCATGGAGATGTGCAAAGGGCCGAAAAGAACCAAAGACAATATCCAATTTTCCAACCTATCGGTGTTTATTATTTCATTGCTTTTCCTTTCAGCCGGCAACAGTCGTGCACGCTGCTTGCTACGAAACGAAGAAGTTGGAATTAAACGTTGAAAATCCATATGCACAATCAGGGAACTTCAAGGTGACAATCGTTGAATCACGGCAGGACGTGTTCTCGGCGTTGTGCTTCCTGAGGGGTGTTGAGTACCAACAGTCACCACCACAAACGGGGAACCAGATGGATAAACGATCTACCTCCTCTTTGGGTTACGAAACCGGAAGCGACACAGACAGAAGTCATCCACAAGAGGACGATTTTCCTGGTAGGACAATCATTGATGTTGCATAAAGTGTTGCACGGTCGATACAGTAATTTCGACATTCATTTCTGATGTAGGTTTATAGCAATGTAAATTAAAGTCTAACGCAGCCACTTGATGTATGGCTCTATAATTGAGGGATACTAAATACATAAATAAAGGTATGTTTCCCAACTGCGCGAAAGCTGATTCATTAACAGGTCAGGTCAGCATGTACGGAAATTACATGCTCGTGCATACATGACGCAAGAAGCAAGACGAAATCAAATTTCTACTGGTCGCGAGAGCATATAGCGGTTTAGATAGGTTGTTTGATCGGAATCCAGTATGAAGAAGATCCTCTTGGCCCCCATATGTGATACTAGGTAAGCACGAGTGTTTCAATCTTCCCATGATGCTCAGACCCATTTCATCGATCATTGTCATTACATTTAGAAGATCCAATTCATAACAGGCCCATGGAATCAACTAAAAAGCGATAACACTAGAACAAAATCAGGTTCTAAAATGCTTATCAGTGTGTACTTGAAAATATGTAAAACCCGAGTCAAATCAATACTGTGCCTGACATAATTCGCTTGCAATAAACGAACTGCGAAAAGTTTCTTCGACGTTCTGTTAGCGGATGCGATACTTGCCACAATTAGGAAGAACATATTACAAAAGGGTAGCGGGAGGACTCAGGCGACATACGTTGACTTCATCATAATTAGGTGTTCGTCAGACGAATACCACACATCTGGAAAGCCCTAGACAGCCGACTCATCCTGTCTTGGTCCATCAGTACTGCGCATTCCACATACCTCTTGTGGGACGGGAACCCGCGACTATTCGGCCACGGGGGATGGCGGCGACCGAAGTAACTAAGCTACTGACTTTTGGGGGTTCCTACCTTGCAAAGGACCGGGTAGCTTCATGTTTAATTTAAACTGTTATTGATACGAATTCCTACTGTTTCATCACTATAACGACTGCTCAGGCGCTTCAATGGGGTGGCATTAATACCAAAACTCGGCTCCCATTTCAGTACTTAGTTTCATCCCATATTCCCGACGCAAACTGGTTCGAATTTTCTGGGATTACTTTGCGTCAAAGTTCTTTGTGAAGGCGTGGGTTCGCTGAGAACAAGCAGACCTTAGCTTAACTGATTGGGTTAACAGTAACGAAGAATACATGTGGGATCAAGCAAGATGAAGCAGATATTTTCGCCCAGGGCAGTTTGATATGGGCGTGAAACATCAGTATACATACAGACAGTGATCAGTAGCAAACGTAAATATACTCTAACTCACTACGTTCACTACTCTATGGGAATCAGCAATTGCCCAAGCTAGCTTATACGCTATCGGACGATAGTGGTTCAGCAAGGAGAGTACACACTTAAGGAGGCCGACCATGTCCCCTGTATGTCGGAAAAGCGCATGATAGTGGAAGATAAACTGGAGCGTTCCTCAGGCATGGTGGTTATCGCTCATCCCCATGGAACATGAAAGCATATGCGCACTGTCGCGGTTTCCAATGTCACAGGGAACGGATTCGATGGGTGCTGCTGACAATCCGCAAAGTAGCGAAGCGGTCGTCCAGCGCCGTTTCGCAAGTGCAGTGGTTGTCTGACCGAGTGTGGCTGTAAAGAATCGCCATTAAACAATTACTCAAAATCCACCCCCTACCTGCTCTTTAAAAATAAACTTTTATCCCCTAATTCTTTAAACGTGACCTAATATGTAGCTGGCCACATTGAAATATCTAAACGAAAGGCGAAGCAAGAAAAATATGATCTTAAAAAGTAAGCTTTCACTGATAGTTGGCTGTGTTCGCATGCTGGGTCATAAGTTAGTGGGGACGATCCGGTTAACAGGAAGCAATCATGGTAAACAAGATGCGCGCCAGCTACAACGATACGGAGTAGGACACGACAAGACTAGGTAAATGTTCAGTAAACTTCTTGCCAAAAGAGTAAAGGGCAAAATAGCGTACTGCTGTCTTGTACCGACTAGGAGAACAAGGATGGCACGTAGTGAGACAAGTGCGCAGTAGATTCTGCACATGCTTGAGTCACAAACGATGTCGAAATTTGGTCGTCAAATTGCACACGCAAGTCAAATAGTCCTACGAGCATAGGTTGGCGTATAATGTAAAGTCGAACGCAATTACATCCAAGTGCAATCGAAGGACTCTTTAAAGGAAGTTGTTGAGGAACTTTAGGTTACGGAAGGCTTAGATAAGGCGCAGAAGTTGCCGCGTGTTTTCAAGTACCTTCATCGAACAGACAGCGGTTATTCAAGGCCGTCGCAGTCCAATTTCGTAAACCAAGGCACAATGGAGGATTGCTATTTAACTTCTTCAGGTGCTCTCCCTGTCGTAAAGGACCCAGACCCCAACAAATCTCCTGGCATCAAGCTATGGTCAAGCCAATCACTGAAAGTCGCCAAGTTACAATACAACAAGTCTCTTCGTGCGAGAAGGATACCGCAGAATTGGAAGTAGTTGTAGTTGCGATCCGTAAAGTAGGTTCTAGACTCTTGCCCTATAACTATAGGTTTGCTAGTCGGACTAGCGTTCTTTTAAGTTCTCTATACTATTTCTAAATTAAAAACGGATAAACGGTTCATTACTCGACGGTTCGAGGTACAGTCCAACTGAGTGGTCCGATCGATTTGTAGAACTAGATAGCAAGGACTGGTATTTGTTCACGCGTTATACACTGGGTCCAAAACGGATTTTCAAACTGATTAGCAGGTTGAAATTATTAGAGAGATTAAGAAACTGGGAACAACAAGAAATGCGGGTTTAACCGCATGTTTAACCGCATGTCATCCATGGGCGTGAGGCAGCACATTTCCTCCATAGCGTAGGAACCAATCCGATAACCACTGGAATTGCATCCAGAATCGCAGTGAGTGGTCAACCGCCATCATCTACTAGCGTATCGAATGCGCAACCATCACACTGTGTACACACGTAGCATAGAGGTGCCGACAAGGCGCTTAGACCAGTACATACCTGTGGGTGCCGTTCCGTGCAGTGCTAGCCGATCGCGCTTTGTGAATGTGTCAAGCCGCGTGTTGGCACTCATGTCCAGCAGAGTTAGGACACACTAAAGCCAGTTCCACAGTTGCAGTTGCAGTAAATAGCGACACAACTGATATATATTGTGCAGAATAAAGTAGGCTAGTATTAGGTAGCCATGTAATCGGCGATACCGTCCGCTGAATAGTTCCAAATGTTTCAGCCTTCGCTCGTTTGGTAAATTGCGCATTCCGATAAGGTACTTGGAAGTCCGACTTCGAGGATGCTCCAATACAGTGAAGTCGTGCTACAGCTAGGCCTGCCAAGCTTGAATTGCGCATTCGATATGAGGGTGAACATATTCACTGAGCATCTGTCGGAAGATAGACATACCAATCTGAACAATGAACAATGAACAATGCTTTATCACTGGTAAAAAAGCATGTAATTTACAAGTCCCGTAGGATAGATGGAGTAAAAATTAAACTTTGAAGGATCATCGAATAAGTAAATCGTTATTTCAAGCGTCTACCAAGTTAAATGCACTACTGCATAACGACAGTTTTAAGTGGGAATGGTATGTGCACAAACAAAATATTATAGGGAGCTGTTAAAGTTCAGTAAGTGCATGAAAAAAAGAAACAACGCTCACTCGTTTGTTTCTTCATTTGACAGATGTGATACGTTAATCCAGTTTAGCTACCTCCAGGCTAATCACATGGACACTACCCCATGTATCCTCTCCGTCACGTTGCTGAGAGGGCCGTTAAGCACATAGTTAGGTTTGCATTATTTCGTCCTCCAAGTTGAACGGACCATATCAACTAATGCCAGTTTGAAAGCGTTTCATCAAGGCCTTTTATTGAAAAGCGTTAATGTAGGGGCAAGGATATATATATATATATTTTTTGCAACAGTCTATGAATAGACATTGCACCATCGGAAACCATGGAACTCAAAACAAGGTACAGAAATAGTAAAAGAAAACACAACACAACACAACAATGTCCACGGTTTCGTCAGAGGGCGAAATACTACCCGGTTGCCCAAGCCGAAGTAGGGTGTTGACTTAGGGGACACCACCCCGAGCCTTTGGCTGAATAGCCTGTCCGCAAGGCAGCGGAGCGAATTCAGGGAATCGCGCCCATTGGGAGCCGGTGACTGATTGATCAGTTCATACGCCTTTCGTTTGTTCCTTTGCCAAACAGGGGCCCAATGCTCCCCGAAATTACAGCATCAACTTGCTGGAATACAATGCTTCGCCAGGAGGAAGCAAGGGGCGGTGACTTTATTTAGTTGCTAGTCACGTCCGCCACGTCACAGTGTTGTTAAACGGACATATGTGGCTTTTTATAGGGAGAACGCTTGCCAGGCGAAAACCCACCACGTCCTGGAACACTGCCGCCGAACCATTTGCTGGAACGGGAAAATCCCGAACCACCCAGCTGGCACCACGAGGAGGTTGTTCGGCAAGCCAGCATTCCAGGCACGGGACACACAGAGGAAGAAAAGGTTGCGTGGACAATCATGTCGACTGTAGTGCGTAGCCAGTTTGAGCTGATGACCTGTCAGGTTGGTATTTCGGCTCGGCTGCAACAGATTGCGACATGAGTGAGTTAGGTTCGTCACTATTAAGCAAATCCAGGATTAGGTCTTCTCACTGACGTCGATATTCACCACTGTACAATCTCAGAGACTGCAGTCTGTGTTGGTAGGAGATATGAAACAATCCTCTAACGAGTTTGGTCGCTCTACTTTGCGGAGCTTCAAGTGCATCAACGTCGCGCTTGCGCCAGGGACGCCAGGCCTGGATCGCATATTCCACGTGAGGCCTCACGTAGGCGTACAGCATTTGCGGAAAGATTGATGGCTCAAAATTGCCGAAAGCCCTCCGTAAGAGTCCAAGATGTTGACTGACTCTTTTTGGTTCCTTTTCAGCCTGTCTCGAGCAACCAAGGTCGTCCTGCACGATCACTCCGAGGTCGTTTGCTTGGAAAGGACGTTGTAACTGCTGGTCCACAAGTCAATATTCATAGATTGATGGTGTATGCTTATGACTTTGCACTTGGTCACGTTGAACTGGAGCTGGTTGTCGGATGACCACGCATGAGCCCTGTCGAGATCGCTCTGCAATGCCATGGGATCATCCGATGTCCTGATATCATGCCAAATTTTGATATCCTCTGCAAATAATAAGAAATTCGACTGCAGTACACTGCAGCAGATCGACATGAGATTGCATTTGTGTTGATCTACTGAAAAGTTGTCACCAGTCCACTCCTTCGTAATTTTTTTACTGTTGGACTCCTAACTATTGGCAGAGCAATGGAGCAGGTGTGACATGTGCGTGACCAGGATTCTCCCCCCATTGATCCTCCCAAGGAAATAATTATTTTCCCCTAAGATTTCAAAACAAAATTTACTAGTAATATGCTGGAACGAACTTGCATAAATTATTTGACTGTTAATAGACAGAAGGAAATCTGTCCGCATTGTGACCATCTTCATAGGCCTTCACAAGGATGGTCTTTTCTTTGTGATTAATTCATCATAACATTACCCACCTTTTGCTTCTTCTTTTTAGGTTCTGCGGAAGCCGATGGTGCAATGCAGTCATTCTTTTGCAAAGAACAAGTGATACACTTAGTCGGTGCCAATAGTTGTGGTTATGACCCTTCGAAACGCCACCAAGAAGGACAAACACTGGTCGACGTGAACAGCGATGAGGTACAGTCGGTCAACGTAACATTTATCCCTCTACATTTGGGCACCCGCAACTGTTGTCTTCTGTTCAGCAATGATGAGATCGGGGAATTCGTTATCATTGTTCGGGGGATCACAGGACTTCCGAACCCAAGCTCAATTCCGATTACTTACGATTTGAAGACAGCTCCTTTCGTCAGCCACAGGTTGAACTCCGGAGTTGCTGCAGCGTGTGAGTTGAGGACACCACATGAATTATAATGGTGCAATTTTAAATCTCACATTGGATCTGATGTGAAAGGAAGGGGTGCTGTAATTTGACTGACTGAGATAGAACGTGTTACACTTTACCTAATTAGTAAGTCATCTCATGATGACGATAGGGTACCATAGAGGGGTTCAGCTCGAGTCGGCGCCTCATGTCAACCTTGTGAGGCTTTAACGGGAAACAGAACGCAATTTGATACAGAGCTTTGAACTGGCAGTAGATTGTTGTGGGCATTAACAATAAGCTATGGGGCGATGTTACCAGAGACATTCGAGCACGTAGTGTCGGTTGACGGCCTGAGTGACCAGCCGTCAAAACAACCCGAATAGCTCATGTTCGAGGCCAACCCGCAAAACCAAAGACGCTGTTTGGAACTAAACCTTCAGCAGGGTGCACGATGTCCGAGCCTGATGTATGGGTCCGTAATTAGTGAATCTGCTTTTTGAGCCAACATTGAAGACGGACAGACACAACGTGGCCTGAAGCTTCCCACACTGTAAATGAGAGAAAGAACTACCAGGCCTAGTAGACTGTTGGGAGTGGATATGTGCGTCTCACAGTTAACTGTAAATGCATCATAAACTTCCATAGTATGAGATACAGCGGCCATACATGCTTCCGAACTCCAAAAGTTATTAGAAGAGAATAGGTCAATGATTGCATATTTCTCGTAGTACCGAGAAACCGTACCCACAGAGAGGCGAACCATATTTATACATATAGTATGATCAAGCATGCAGTTGTAAATGTTTGCGGTTTACACGGCTATACACTTCTTCCTCTGGAGTCTTCATTGTCATTTCCCACGAGTTCACGGGTATTTCCAGTTGTTTCATTAAGCCACATATCGGGGACCCTATGTCGGTAGGCTCATGAAAGTGGAAAGAAGCTATTAGAGCCGTCAGCCGAAATCTGAAAATAACACAATCGTGGGTGAAGAGGTGAAGTAAAAATAAGGGGAACCATGCGAGACAGTCTGTGAGTAACGAAGAGCCTGCAGTTAAAGGAACATGACTCGGACGGTGGAAAACATGAAAAAGTTAGGATTGCTCTATGTAGAAGGCTCCTTCCAATCCTCCAAATTTCCAACTGTAGTAGCCAAGTAAAGTGAGGAGTCGCACACAAATGAGGAGAAAAATTAAAGCGGGTCAAAGCACCTAACACCTCTCAAGACTGTCACATTAGTATGATCGGTCCAGTTGCAACACATGCGCATAGAAAATGAATCACTGTTTCGTCTTCGTCTATACATGTCAATAGGCAGGCTAAGCGTGAAATTACACTTGTCCTCTTACACTGTTTTGGAAACCTGAAATGGAAGCCTTTACAGACTGCTACTATTCCAGTCAACAAACTACCGGTTGTTCTTTTTCTTAGTGTTCGGCCAACCGGATGATAATGTTATGTACCTTCGCATTCCGGTTGGACGTTCGGTACGGGAAACTTTGATGATCCCGATGGAAAACGAAGCCCGGAAGGAAGCAACTCTGTCAGCTATACGACTTCGACTCACAGCTGCTGAGCTCCATCGTCGTGAGGTGTCCAGCACGCTCAACTCAGAAGACTTACTCGACCTCGCCAATCAGCTACTGCTACTTCCAAGGACGCGATTAGAGCGATTGAATAAGGATAAGAAAAAGGTCAGCACGCTGCTGTTTAACTTTGTGCTGACTGAGCGGTATTGTTTATGCTTGCAAAGGATGCTGGTGATTCAGTTATCTTTATTAAGCCAGTAGGGTGATTTGCGATAGATGTGAGCGTTGCGTGCTGTCTTTGGCGTAACGAAACTAAAGATCTTTAGAGTGCTGTGCTGAACTACATTTAAAAACAAGCACATAATTTGAAGGAGGAATTCACTGCGCAGTTCGAATTGTGTAAGAATGTTAATGGATATTGAGGACACTCCCTATCACTTGTAGCCAAATCTATCTAGAGATGAAAAATAGTGGGAAAAGTACATCCATACCGTTTTGTTTAGAAGAAACCTTAGGAGTTTCACGAACTTTGAATCGTACAATGAAAAATCAACAGGAGGAATTTCTGATGGTTCGTCACGGCTACATCCAGCGTCTATACATTTCGAATTGCACTGTGCGGCCGTTTGGTCCTATCTGGACTCATCTGTTCACCTCAGTTGCTCGATGGGCGTTGGGGGGTGGGAGCTAAAACCTCGACCGTTTGCTATCAAGTCAACGGTCGAAACCGCTTATTTTGATGCTGGCGGCTCAGCAAGGAAAGCTTTGTCTCTGAGAACCAGTCATATCCTTATCACGTTGAAAACGTAGGTAGCAGTGGAGAACGCGTTACACTATATAATAGCTTATGACTTCGTCACGATAGCTGCCGCCACTTCCGTGGCCAATTGATCGCTTCCGGTTATACAGGTGCTGGATAATTTAGAAAGTATATGAATCATTTCTTTTGAAAGCCTATCCAAATCTTCCCTTCTATAATTCTAAAAATGACTTTCGACGGGTTGTCGCAATGACATCATTCTCTTGCGGTCCACATGAAGAAGACCTGGTTGGTACCTTCGCCCGAGGTTCTGCATATCGACGCGTGGCTCCATTTAATGGACAAGAATGAAGGTAAGCTATAGATGCAGAATGAGCTGTTGGGTTTGGAAGTACCATACTTGGGATTGAGCCTGTCACGCTCACTTAAGTGAGCAGAGGAGGGCAGGTGGTTTCGGTGCGCACACGCATGAGAAATGCTCGTGTGAGACCAAGTGCCACCCGATAACAGCTCGCAGTTGGACAGTCGTTTTGTTAGAAGACGCTTGGCATCCGAATAGAGCTCAGGTAAACAGGCTACTTGTAAAAATGCGAGATAAACCGATGATGAAGTGTAACAAAAGCGGATCTGGGTGCCTTACCTTAAGTTTGGTGCATACGGCTAAGATAAGCAAGATCGGAATTTACGTTGACTCCTTTTCTGAAGAGTTCCATAAATTACTGAAGAAAAGATAGCAATGGAATGGTCTTACTTAACAAGTAGATCAAAAAGTGTTAGGCGCTGTATTTGATTAACTGTGTTTCATAACGCCCCACCTGCAATTTGCAGCAATCAAGCCGAATGACGAAAAAGGAAGTGTATCGAACAACTACGGATGCGCCGTTCGTAACGTGCCCGCAGGCTGTGGAAACGAAATCCAACATAATTCTAGCAGGTTGGTGTCCAGTTGGTCCCTTACATGCACGGCGGCTAGCGTCAAAAATTAAGCGTGATGTACCTGATGTATATGCACAGTTTGAATTAAATCACTAGCCCTGCTTCCTGAATGGACACAGAGTTGACTTATAACACGAATTTTTCTCATTTCAGCAGGAAAATCGTACTTTCCCTTGGATGTAGACATTTTAATTCGCCAAACAGGACTGTTCTCCGCGCGAATAATTGTCAGACGACTGGATGACATTCGTGTTTATCACTTGAAATGTGTCGCCGTGCCTGACAACCAGCAATTCAGGTTGAACTTCTCAGCCCCTCTCGCACAAACCATTACCCAACCGATACCTATTGTCAATAAGTCCACATACGATTGGGAGCTACACGCTAAATTCACCGGTGCCGCAGCATGGTTTTCGGGTCCAGCTCAATTCAGTGTTCCAGCAGAGAACACGGTCAATTATCCTGTCAATTTCGTGGCCCGTCGTGAAACGGAAGTTGAGGTATGTTTGCCAGAGATCGAAAAATAAGATTACTTGCTGTTGTGGGTTTCGGTCTTGCTCTCTTCCATCACTGCCCAGCACGACGTATTTTGTCTTTGTTTAGACTCATTAGGTAGAGATAGCCCGAGCTGGAAGTGGAACTCGACACAGGGATTGGAAACTATCCTCACGATCACTGGGCCACTGTGCTACGCGAATAGCGCTTGACACAACAGTTAGAAGTTGAGTGTGGGGTTTTGCTTGATGTTCTGCAAATAGATTATGTGGCCAGCAAGAGGATCTTTATTTTTGATGTCTGGGGTTGAGATGCTAGTTCGGCCGTGCTCATAATGAAGAGAAGACAACAGGTATTGGCAATCAGAGCGTCTCATGAACCTAAGATTAGTGACTCATGCTCGTATACTTTACAACTGACCACACACCACGGTTGACTTGATTACCAGCAAAACTTCTCTCTTCAGGTATCCAGAACCTGGAACACTTCCTTTCCACGTTATTTTTGCACCCACATTAAAGATTTCTAACAACGATTGAACCACCCTCTATCCCATTTACATTACGCGACATAGCCTGTTTCTATCGAAAGATGAATTAACGCAGTGTGCTCATCAACCCTCTCCGTTACATAGTGGCGAGCAGACCAGTATGTGTTCACATAAATACTTCGGTGAGTCACCCCAAACCATAATCTTCCCTTTTTCTTATCACTTTAAACAATCGCTCCGGTCATTCTACGAGGCCTCTCAAGCAATGAAGAAGAAGTGTATATTCTCGTCTGCGAGAGACTGAAACCGAGAGGGCCAGATCAAAATGTACAGAAGTCTCATACAAATGCAAGAGGTTTTCATGTGTCATTTGTCATGTTTTGTAACTGTGAGATTCCAAACGGGCAGATGACACCGCCCGCAATCTGAGTGCTAGGTTGCAGCTTGTCTCCTGTGTGAGTTTGTGTTTTCCAACCCCGATCCAGCTTACAGAAACGAGTTTTCATTTTCTTCCTTCAGCTGGCCAAAGCAGCCAAGCTAATCTCCCAATAAATGTGTAAATAGAGCAGGAGAATTCGGTTAAACTGGGGAAAATAAAACAACTGAATGCAGTAGCAAAAGGCGAAAAATAGGAAGACTAGACATAAATTTTTATATGTTAAGCGAAATATAATGCAACTAGATAGAGTAATTCTTTAAGGATGCTTTTTTACCCGTTATAAACCATTGTTCATCGTTTCAAAAAGGCTTGAAAACAACCGGTTGGTATAGTTTGTGGGCAAGGTTTCGCTTTTGACACAAAAGCTTCCTCAGGTCGAGTGAACCAGTCGAGGATTGGTATAGCACTTATAGCGAACGGGGATGATAATTGCGACGAGTGGTATGTAGGCAGAAGGTCAATCGCGTTACAGGCCAACGCATCACTCGAAATAGTGCATGGAACGGTCACAAGTGGTCCGCATTACAATGTCATACACGTAAGTCCTGTTACAATGGGTGCGGGGATGATGTGATATTCATTCTCTCCCCTGAATCGTCCGCCGGCGCTCTTCAGACTGGTCGGGTTAACACAGCTCGCTACACGCTCGAAAGCTCTGCCCCGTCCATTTTGTTCACGCAATCGTTCACTTTGCTAATCTCAACCGCCTCAGCAGTCAGCCTCTGGGGAGTTGACCACAATCCCTTTCTAACGATTTCAATTTTAGCCAAGTTGATTTCATGCCCTGTATCTATTGCGTACATCGCTACTGCCAAGCTCCTTAGTAGAGCCATCTATTCGAGCTCATTTCTCGGTGACCGTGTTATAAGTCTCTTGTGTTCTGCTATCCATGTGCGTAGCTCTCTCGCGTTCTGACCGATGTACACGTGTGCGCAGTCTTTGCAACTAATTTTGTAGACTCAATTGGTTGTCCTAGTTGCGGGAAGTGGGTCTTTCAAGTGCATTAGTGTAGAGCGGAGCGTCTGGTCTTTCTGGAAAATTACCCTTATGTTTTCTTTATTTAAGCCCCTCCGGATGATCTCCGAAGTTCCATCTTTAGAAGGAATACCTACCGTCCCAATCCACTCCGTAGTACACCGTGGGTGAGGATTTAAAGTTAGATCCAACTGGCGTTTTACTAACAGCCGCGGGTATGCACTACCAAGCAGTTGGTCCATTACTTCTTTCCGGGCGGCCTTCCTCCCTTCTTCCTCTGTGCACAGGGTCTGCGCTCTGTGAAACAGAGATGAGGTGATTGCAGCATACACATGTTTTGGGTAGCCTGCACTCTAGTGGAGTACACCATCTGTGTCCGTTGGCTTACCATATATCGTTCTTTTTAGAATATCCCCATTCCTGTGAACTAAGCAGTCAAGAAATGGCGATGTTCCACAGCCGGACTCCAATTCCATAGTGAAATTCATAGTCTCCGAAAAATCCTTCAAGCGGTTTAGAAACTCATCGTTCTTATCATGTTTTATGACAACAAAGTGTCATCCACGTAGCGCCACTAAATTTTCGGTGAGCTACAAGAGTCAGTCAGCGCCCTCGTTTCAAAGTCTTCCATGTATAGGTTTGCCAATACAGGGCATATTGGCGATCCCATGACAAGTTCCTGTTCCTGAGTGTATAATCTAGATTAGAACGTGAAATAAGACATGTTAAGGCACAATTTCATTTTTTTTCATTATTTGATCTACCGTAAGTTTCGTCCTCTCTCCCAGATTACTGTCCCCAGTTAGACGGTATTTTGCGATCTCCAAATCGTCGCATATAGGCACGTTGTTAAAGAGCGCGCTAACGACGAAACTGACCATCGTTTCATCCGACTCAACCTCAAGACCTGACACTTTTCTCGCAAATTCATAAGAGTTCTTTACGAACGTATTCGTTTGCACCAGAGGCTGACTGCTGAGGCGGTTGAGATTAGCAAAGTGAACGATTGCGTGAACAAAATGGACGGGGCAGAGCTTTCGAGCGTGTAGCGAGCTGTGTTAACCCGACCAGTCTGAAGAGCGCCGGCGGACGATTCAGGGGAGAGAATGAATATCACGTCATCCCCGCACCCATTGTAACAGGACTTACGTGTATGACATTGTAATGCGGACCACTTGTGACCGTTCCATGCACTATTTCGAGTGATGCGTTGGCCTGTAACGCGATTGACCTTCTGCCTACATACCACTCGTCGCAATTATCATCCCCGTTCGCTATAAGTGCTATACCAATCCTCGACTGGTTCACTCGACCTGAGGAAGCTTTTGTGTCAAAAGCGAAACCTTGCCCACAAACTATACCAACCGGTTGTTTTCAAACCTTTCTGAAATCATGAGCTCTCCATCGCTTCCAAGTATTTTCCACCACATTGTTCATCGTTGTTTATTATGACTTCCTAGCCCATCGGAGACTCAGTCAGATCTTCCTTGACACCATATGAGAGTGAAGGATAATGACAGCTGACTAAGTGATCCCAAAATGGACAACAGTTTTTCCAAGGAAGACGAACAAATGTAGATTGCCTGACCTGAGAATCAGTATGCATAAGCATAACCAACTCGACTACTGATCCACAGCGAATCTACCCGGACACATTCGAATTGGCAGGAATCCAGTGCCTTTGTTAAGTTCGTTCTCAGATCCTAGTGTCTGGAGTAAGAGCTTGTTATGATTGAATGACGCCTGATACGATTGTCACTGGCACGGTTTGCCCACGCCTTCGATAACGGCTTGGAACACTGTCCGCTCGAACGTGTTTGCGCTGACGTGATGGCGTTACCTTAGCCCGGGGTACGCGCTGGTGTGACGGATTATCGGATGGCGTGAGAGCGGTCCTAGCTACACGTATTCGGGTAGACGCTGAGCCTTCGTAACGGACGAGGCTACGCACATGATAGCGGGTGTCAGTTGACGCGCGCTGGTGGCTTAGAGATAAACGCTGCCCGGCTATAGACGCACACGAAAATCACGTGACCGAACCGACTCCCAACCAACGGCGAACAGAAAGCAAGACAAGTGGTCGTCTGAAGTCTCTTTACGACCAACAAAGAGCGAATCACAGTCAACACTATGGGTCATTAAGTTAGTGAAACTAGCTACCGCGACGGGGTGGTAGTTTGTAAAAGAACATTGTCTGTGCGCCGTTGTGCCGCGTCTCGGAGTAGCTGAAACCTGCTACGTCGAGGAGAGGAATTGAACTCCACTTTCTACAGCCATTACGCCGGAGTTTGTGGCGCGTTTTTGCGGGGTTATTTGACGGGCCCGCAACAGAAGTGAAAACAGAATTGGCAAAAATGTAAACAAAAAGAGCAAAACGAATGATGGTCTCGAGTATTAAGCATCATATTCGAACTGACCGCGTCATGTTTGTTACGAGAGTCATGGGACAGATCGAATGTCGGGAAGATTCAGTACGAAAACCCAGCCTACACTTGAAGTATAGCACAAGTTTACAAATGACGATCAACAAACCTAATTTTCTTACTTCTGTGTTCTAGGATGCTCAGTGCGTTTTCGGATTGTGAGGTGCGTTTATACTTTAAACCACAACTTCATCTGGAACGAGATTCGATCATTCCGGAAGTAAATTCCCAGCTGTTGTGAAAGGTGTTGCGCAGGAAACCTAATGAGTAGAGATAAAGGTGGTTGTCTGGTAAACCCCGCTGCCCAAAATTCAAAGCACAGTTCCAGCTGAGGTTTCTACTCCATCAAGGAGCCGGTTGTGGAGTGCGTTGTTAGTAGAACTTAAAACCAATAATGTAACCGGGACCCCAGACCACTCCAGCAAAGAATTTTGCAAGACCAACGAGTTCTGGAACACCATAGGAGATGGAAGGGAATCTAGCATCGGGGGTAGTATGCGTCATTCAATTACATTGCTTCCATTCTTTAGCAATCTCCGCAACATCCGCATATAAGTGGCCTTCAAAAAGCAGCATGGTGACTTTTTCAACGCCTGGGAACAAATAAAGCAAAGCATTGTCTCATTCTATGCAGACGAGGGTGCACAAGATGTCATAAGGACATCGGTACCTAAGTGA